TGCCATATATATTCCGAGCAACTCTCTGTCGAATGTCGAGTATTTTTGTTGAGTAATGCGTGGATTCGTCTCAATGTTAATAGTGCGGATTGTTTGCTGCGTCGATTTGATCAGGGTTGCGGGCGTTGTCAGCTCAGTTACCCTATCTATGAGTTTTCGACCAGCTATATCGACTAATAGCTTATAATGCTCTAAAAAAATCTGCTCCAATAATCGGTTGTGTTACATCGGCGATGACAAAGTTCCATACAAAGTTTCTTCGTAGCCCGAAGTTTAAAGAGAGTGTTTTTTCACCATATGTCTTAATTTTTGTACCATTGGCGGCATAAAGTATACATTGTTCATCTTGTATTAGTGAATGTCTCTGTGGCTTGCTAATAACTGAAATATTTGCTCCCGTGTCAATCAAAAATCTCATACCACTTTTTCGGTCGGTAATAGTGAGGCGGTTGGACGGGTGAATAGCACAGAGTTCCGCCGTTGTCCGTGCTTCAATTAGTTTCCCTGTTTCCTTGAGTTGAGATCCTGTTTCCAATCACAAGGTTGAACACACTTTTGTGCATATTTTTTAAATCTTCCATGGTAAAAACAAAACTGCCTTCTTTCTCTTGAACTCGACTGTGGTAGGAAATGCCGACGATTGGAATAACTTTGAGTGCTGCGTCGATAGTTTTTTTGACCTTGCTGAATTGCATTTAGTTCCAATTGCATTTCTGCTAACTGTGCTAGTATGCATGACATTGTATCGTCGCCAGATTTGTTTCCGTTTACAGCTGACACCTCTGTACGTGTTGAATTTATTAATATCTTGTCCGCGATCTGGCTCATCTTGTTCACATCTATGTCTTCTGTGACTGCTAGAACCGAAGTCACTGATGGTGGCAGAAGCCTCAACCATAGAAGTTTGATGGTTTCGTCGCTGATATTTCCGTTACTCAGGGTCCGCATCTTGCGCAGAAGATGCGATGGTTTCTGGTCGCCGAGATCCATTTCAGACAATAATTTTTGGAGCTGACGTTGGTCTGATTCCTCATAGCAACTGATTAGGCGTTCTTTGATAGCCTTGTACTTTTCTATTGGCGGTGGGCAAGTAATGAGGTCACTAACCTGTATTATTTCTTCTTTTGGCAGTTTTGCAATGACCGTATAGTACTTGTAATCGTCTCCTTGCTTCTGTGGTGCTACTATGGCTTCTAGTTGCTTAAACCATAATCTGGGTTGGTCCCTCCAAAATTCCGGAATACGGGATAAAATGGCGGTTCCGGCTGATATCTCCAAGGCTTCTTGTTGGCTGCTGCTTGATTTGCAGGGTGAATGAGTCATGTTGATTGTTCTTCGTCGGGTCACCAATTTGCCAGACTTCGTGGCAAGGTAAATAATGAGACTGTAGATGGTTAAGGTCTGTTTATTACTTTAATTGCTGGTGCTTATATACTAAGAAGATGCGTGAGATTTTCAGATTTAGCTATCCTAACAAACGTGCAACAATTAACATGTATGTCTTATCTCTATCGTATCTAAGTAATGTAGCGACGTGATAGTGCCGCTACAGTACTGTACCTGCACGCGCCGTGTCTACATACACTGCGGCGCACGCACGCCATGCCGCGCCCCCTGCACGCCAAGGTACTGTACCTGCACGCGCCGTGTCTACATATACTGCGGCGCACGCCATGCCGCGCCCCCTGCACGCCAAGGTACTGTACCTGCACGCGCCGTGTCTACATACACTGCGGCGCACGCACGCCATGCCGCGCCCCCTGCACGCCAAGGTACTGTACCTGCACGCGCCGTGTCTACATACACTGCGGCGCACGCCATGCCGCGCCCCCTGCACGCCAAGGTACTGTACCTGCACGCGCCGTGTCTACATACACTGCGGCGCACGCACGCCATGCCGCGCCCCCTGCACGCCAAGGTACTGTACCTGCACGCGCCGTGTCTACATACACTGCGGCGCACGCACGCCATGCCGCGCCCCCTGCACGCCAAGGTACTGTACCTGCACGCGCCGTGTCTACATACACTGCGGCGCACGCACGCCATGCCGCGCCCCCTGCACGCCAAGGTACTGTACCTGCACGCGCCGTGTCTACATATACTGCGGCGCACGCCATGCCGCGCCCCCTGCACGCCAAGGTACTGTACCTGCACGCGCCGTGTCTACATACACTGCGGCGCACGCACGCCATGCCGCGCCCCCTGCACGCCAAGGTACTGTACCTGCACGCGCCGTGTCTACATACGATATACTAACAGAAAAGGCTTTTTTCCTGATACTCCATGGAAAATATGTTCAGAGGCCAGTTATTACATAATGCGTAGACGCAATAAAGGATTTATATGCAAGCTATTAATCTATATGTTATCTATTGATCTATATGTTAATTGTCACAATTGGTATTATACTAATGCTACAACTTATCTGCATTTAGTTCGACACCTGTTCTTTTATTATTAATTTAGTTCCATTCTTATTTGCATTCATTTAATGTACAATTTAAATGCCAAGACGGCATTAAAATGCATCCAATACAAAAGGGTATAGTTATTAACATAATTTAAGTCCGGTATAATTGACTGTGTCACGATGCAGACAGATTTAATGAGAGTTTTGACAGAGACAATACAAAAATGTAGAATTCTGGCGTATTGTCTCTTATTCTGATATCGTTTTTCCTTTATCTTATACTAACGATCCACCCCGGCTTCGTAAAAGCAGAATGTTAATACTAAGTTATCCAATATTTAATGGATGTTATTATACATATAGATACTTCACTGCTTATAGACCTTCCTCTTCAATCGAAAAAACGTATCAAAATCCGTTGCATAGTGCCGCGTGGGGCATATAATCATTTATCTAGTCATAAAAACATGTATGTCATCGATAGACCTAAACTTACAAGAATGGCCTTATTTTTTATTATAAATTAATGGTGTAACTTTTCAAAAACCTTGATCTTTGTCAAATATAGCTATTATCTACAAATCACACGATTTTTCTTAATTAAATATGTAATATAATATCAGATACTACGCAAAAGATAGCGCAAGAATACATGTATTTTTATATTAATTTATTCGTCTATTGTATTCTTCTCATACTATAGATTACTGATTTTACTCCTATCAGAAACGCAAGCTTCCTGGAAGGAAAAGCTGCTTCTAATTTTATTTCATAGCCTTTTTATCTATTCATTTGCAAAACAAAGGTACTTATACCTATATACGCGACGAATATAGGTATAAGTAAAAGTACGAATAAGTACTCCGTCTAAACAAACTTCATATAAAAGTTGAAGGTTCTACATTTAATCATTTGTAAAAGTTTGTTACTTAGCTACATAATATATAAACTTTATCGACATTCACCTTCACTGTATAAGCCGGACTAACGGACGGGAAGGTTTGGGCAACCTTGACCCACAAATATGTATATTGTAACGTATTATTAGCGGCTCGATCCGACCCTGTTCTCTAAGTCCGTATGAAGGCAAAATTAACTTAACCATCGTTTTTTTGCTGTTACTAATAGTCATTGTAAAAACACAAGTCATTGAGGCACAAATGAAAAAAAATGATTGTAATATTACTAAATTGCTACACTACTTATAGTTACCCAAACGCAATAAGGTACCGCATCCCCGGTGCAGGAGAAGGACCGGGTGGTTTTTAGTCAGTAAGAGTCTCTTCTCCTTCTCTCTCTACTCCTTCTCGCCTTTCCTTATTCCCCTCTCAAAAAAATCTTTCTAAATTACAGAGAAATGTAAGCAAGCTAAGTTGTGAGCAACAACTTGTTCAACTACAGATAAAATTGATGCTAATCCGAATACTTTTTAATATTTACTGTACAAAATTTTCGTTTTTTCCAAAGATTCATTTCTATGTGTATCGCAATCCAAAAATAAGGTGCTAGTATACCTACTTTTTATAATAATAGTGGGTGTGAGCTCCTAATGTTACCTCACCGGACCGGTTCCCGCGCTCACGTAATCTAAACTGTCGTCAATTAAAATCGTCTTCAACACGAAATTCCTTACTTTAAAATCTGAACCTACATTGTTTATACCGACTCTATTTATTTCTTCAATGGAATTTATTTTACTGATAAATATGTATGAGACTCCATTGTAACGTATATTATTTTTACTTTTGTAACTCGTTCGCTACGTTTCCATAAGAACAAATTTTGAAAAAATACAACGGGGTTTTTTATTGCTTACTGTTATTACAACTCCTATGTAACTTAAAAGACAGATAGCCAGTAGCAACGTGGCATAAAAAATATTGGTATAAATCGAATTGTACCTAAGCTACTGCAAGAACTAGGGTTGCGGGTCAAGCTGAATACGTACTGTATCCGCAGCCTGGAGAATCAGAGGGAACGCGGTGGTTTATTGTACTCTTATTCGCTCTCGGTCCAGCCAGAGCGAAAAGTCATTTAATGACTTCCCTTCTCAAAAATGCTCACAATTTCTCAAATAAGTCAGTTCAGTAATTTCGGATCCCTTTCAATGCAATCAAATAGTAAAATGTTGCCTCTTCGTAATACGTGTAATATGTATAGACTTGCTTTTCCATTGACGGATCCAAAATACCTAGAACGTTTCATCCAAAAGTACTTATAATCGATAAAATAAAACCTATGCTGAAACATCCCTCCAATGCTAAAACATATTAAAATCAGTTCAGGTTCTGTCAAAGTATTTGAATTATATGTATAACAAACCGACATATTATTCCTTATACCGTGTGCATTATTACACAATAATACCCTGAGAGCTTTGCACCAAAATATCAAAGTGCGGTATAACTAGACGAGATTAGAGTGTCCGCGGACGTGCGAGGATCACTCATACACCGGCGCGACACTGTTGCACTCGTGTGCATACAACACAATACTTACAACTTATTGAGAACTAGTGCAATGCTTACTTCGGTGAGAACTGCGTGAAGGTAGTGTTTGTGTGTGCTTACTGTTATACTACAAGGAAGTCATGGAGTTGTCCACCACCAGTGACCGTTTGACATCAGGTACCTCATCTATGCCTTGGTTGTGCTAGTCTTGTATATAATACTAAGCTAGTAGTGAATTTACTTTTTCTTTTTTGTTAATTTTGTCTTGGCTCTGCGTATTAGCCATCTACTATTAGGTATTATTATTTTAATCAAATAAAAACCTGTATCGTTATTTACCATTTAACTCACAGCAAAGAAAATCATGATTTTCACTTTAGCTTGGAAATGAATAAATAATAATAGAGTAGTCTTCAATTAGTCAAATTCAATATTTTTCCGAAATATAAGAAACTAGCTACTCTCGCGCGGATTCACCCGCTGCTCGGCTCCATTTAATCGTAGCGTGATGTTTCATAGCCTATAGCACTCAGGAACATTGTAGCTCTCTACCAGTGAAATAATTTTGGCAATCCGACCAGCGGTTCCAAAGACACCCCCTACATACAAACTTACAAATTATTAGTATAGATGACAGTCTACTTTTCCGTTTTCGACAAAAAAAATGACGTCACGTCGTATACGCATACTTTTCGGAAGCAAAATTAATGTACGTGTGATTATTTATAAGTATTTCTATAAGATGAAAGAATTTCTTGTTGACCGAAACACCTAATCAATTAAAAAAAGGTATCATAAAATTTTATTTAAAGATAAAATAACCAGGCGGTCTTTATATAATACAGACCAGACACAGATTAAGATATAACTTAACTAAAGCACATTAGTTTACCAAGACCTTGAAATAAGATACATTGCTAACTTCCTTGCACCTTTGAGCGCATCAGATGTTACTCCAGTACACCACTGCGGCGTAGTACCGGTCCGCCGTAAACCCGATCACGTGTAGTCACCGGAGTGTAACTATCACGACGGCATAAGGTTCAAGTTTGATGTAACTGGGTGAAAAGTATTGGGTTGCTTGCGGTTTCCATACGCCTCAACTATGTGACACTGGAGAATTGTGAGGCTGTTTGTGTTTCCTTGCTTATTGTAATGCAAAAGTATATGAAACTTTAATATTTTAAATTCTATATTTCTCTTATAAGTACAAAATAGGTTTTCTTATTAATCGTCTTAAAAATAGGAGGTTCTCAGTTGGAGCTATATGTTTGTCTGTCCGCGATTATCTCGCGATAGAGTTGAGAATTAAATTGTGAAGCTAATTGGAAAAAAGTAATCATGGCTTGTTTTCCTCCATAAGAATCTGCACTTTGGATTGAGCAAATAGCTTCACAAGAGTTTAGACGGACAGACTCGCACTTTTATCTTCTTATATTTAATTATTGAGTTTGACGTTCAAAAGTCCCTTTAATGGTTCAATTTAATTAAATGATTTGACTTTGATTAACAATATCTAGTATACCATTAAATGTATTGCAATCACATGTTCTACAGAATAAATAATTTCAAATTATAAGACGGACATATCTAGGCTTGCTAAGCGTGGATACAAGGTAACTTTTTCTATTCATATAAACCAGTTGAAATCAAGTTTGGTGAAAGTTTCCGAAATTATACTAGTGATGTCTCACGATAACTATTCCATTGCGTTTAGCCTTTCTGTTTTAAAGTATTTTGCTGTAACCTTATACTGTTAACTTATAATTGTTTATAAAATATTTTCTACAGTAAATAAGATAAACATGGCATTAAAATTAAGTATACAATTATTACCAGTATTGTACACTGAAGCTTTAAAATTGTGCATGCAACTTTACCGTGATTAATAAAATATGCATTCGACATTTTTTTAATCCTTTATCCAAAGTCAGAATAAGTACCTACTACGTACATTAAGATAAAATATATGTCTAAAATAAAAAAATAAGTATGCAATCTATACTTGTATATTTTATTGTAATATGATTTGCTAATCAAAGAACAAGATACTAGTTTTAAAAGTAGGTAATGTAATACCGTTCATACATTATTAGATCAAACGTAAAAAGTCCTTGATCACAATTTGCAAATTTCACCCAGGACCTGACATTTGTAACATAATAATTATAACTTCCTATTATTAGATTATAAGACCATTGTCGTCAGAACATTTTATAATCAATGCATTATCGTCTTTATGTACGTATTATTAAGTTTTATTGAAGATGATTCCTAAAATAGCAGCAGGACAATCTTCTCCAATCTAGCTAATTTCCTTTAATAAATTTATCTTTTTGTGATAAAGTCTAAAATGTATATGAGAAATTTGACAGATTGAAATAGGATACTTGTGCGTAGTGTGTCAAGTTCAACTAGGACACTTGCAAGGTTTCACTCGCGTTATAACAATATATTTTTGTCAGTTGCTATTTTGATACTCATACCATGTTTGTGTGTCTGTGTCTAATTTTGAGGTTCATAAGCCAATTCTTCGTGTTTGCAATGGTAAAGAAATGCTTGTTACAAAGGAAGTGCTTGAAATATAATTAAAGAGAGTGTCCCAGTAAATACCGATACAATTGACAGATCCATATAGCTGTAAATTGGATAATAGTTCTTCAAATAGTATTATGCTGAGTGTTAGGACAGTTTCACAGCGGTTCTTCTAATACACGTACAATGAATACATTGATACTGGTCTAAACTGCAGAATATTAACGGCGCTTTTTAATGTTGTGTTCAATAACTAACATATCCTGTCAATTAAAAAATGTATGTTCCAATAACTTCATTAAAAAAACTTTATTTTTTGGCGATTTCATTTACTTTGCATTATCCTGTTATGTCGTAGTTTTATGCCTAATGGGTGAGTGTCAGTGACATGTGATATTGATAAAGTGCAGTGTGTGGACAGGTGCCGCCGCTGGAGTGCGCGTCAGGCGCCAGCTCCGCGGAGTGCTCGTCCAGCGAGGACAGCGTGGCCGGCCCCTACGCCAGCGAGCACAGCGAGCCTTACGCCTCCCGACCTGATGAGGGGTACGAGGTCAGTCTCTCACAAGATAATTAACACATCGTGATGTAGGTACTATTAAGAAAGCATCACAGACTGATCTTAAAATTATGGATAATTTCATTGCAGAATACCAGAAGGTTGATTTCTCTAAAGCCTTTACAAAGCATTGGCCATGCCATGCTTTTTGTTCTACGCTACCTAACGTAAAACTTGACATCATCAGTTATGGTGATTGGGTTAGATTGATAAGAGAACCCAAACAACGTTACAAAATCAATAGGTTTGGGTGGTGATTGGGATAACCGCAACTGATGGTGCTATTATGTAATTGCCTTTAGTGAATATATAGATAACATTATTACTTACTATAAATGCAAATCTTTAGCTACAACAAGAACGCGAACTAAGCGTAGTCTGCTAATGACGACAAAGTTACACAATATTTTATACCAAATTAGGCAAAACACAAGATAAATCTAGTGTAGATTTAATCTAGTTAAGGTGTCTAAACTTGGCATTTAACAAAACAAGATCTATTCATTCTTAATTATAGGTAGTCAAGATATATTGCAAAATTATAGTATTCTACAAACAAATGACTTCCCAGCTCATAATTACAAAAAAATACAATAAAAACTCTGCGTGTTTAACCACGTGCACACGCCTACATGTGTACGAGTATTAGTAGGTAAGTGCCTAAATAGGTGTCTACGCTATAAAAGTTCATGTTCACTTTTTATATATCAAGAAATATTTGTTAATTTATCTAATACAATATATCTATTACGTACGTCAGTACGTGAAAAATTAAGATATAATAAACCTTGTTTGTACCGTTTGTTGTAAGTTAATTGATAAAACGAAGGCAACACTAATAGCGGAAAAATATCACCTATTTCGATTATTCAAATGCTAATGAGTTGTGTGTCTCACGTAAACAAACAAATAAACTTGTTTATAATAACATTGCATTCATTGAGAACTTCCCCCGCAGGCTGATGTAGAGGTGGGCAAGCTGGACGTCCCTCCTCTGTACAACAGGGCACGGAAACTGTCCGGATCCATGGCAACTATACCTTCAGGTAGGTCCTACATGTGTATCACTCTGAATTTATATACAAAAACTATAGAGGGAAATGAAATCTATCCTTGTCCTGTAAAAGATTTCCTTTCTTTGATCTTCGGTATTTGTTCATGTACATAAAATAATAATATGTACAGTAGGTCTAGGCGTACAAGATTGGCAAAACTTGGATAAGTAAGTCAGCTCTGTCATAATAAAAAACTTTACCAATTAAGTAGGTACATTACTTGTATTAAGTAAAACATTTTCCTACAAAATACTCGTCAGTCCCAATAAATGATTGATGGAGTTCCGAGAAACACTAACCTATTAAATAATTAATTTATTGCGTACGCATTCGAGATGTAAATAATTACATCAACACTGTTAATTATGTTCCTAATTGATATTTGAATGTAAACAAATAATAAACAACTTTCCGCGCATCGCAATACTTGGTAACATGAGAATAATATACTAACGCGGTTGTATCTACTAGTTTTTTCCGCGCCTATTTTTCGTAATACGTGGTCAGTGACTCTTCGCCCGCATACCGATATACCGGTATCGTAGTACCGCGGCTGTTGTCAAAATTTTGAACTCAAGTTAAAATGTAATAGCTTACAATATCGTGTTCAGTGGACGTTCTGTGATATCTAGTGATAATATTGGAAATATATCAGTGTAATGGAAAGCTTAGCGAGTTTTGATTTTGAAGGTAATTTTGGCGATTGTCGAATGTTCTTGTTATCGTCTACCATCGCTGTGATGTCTCCCACGTGTTATCTTCTTGTTATGGATCGAATATTTTAATTTGCTCGCTGTTGTATCATCTCTACATTATAGTATTCATTTAAGATGTTATCTTGCTGCTAGTCTGTTCACCTAACTGTGCAGGTGTACAGCTAATTTTTATTTAAAACTTAAAGAGAAGTGAGCACGAACAACATAATAATTAATTAAAAATACCCATCATTTAGTTTTGCATGAAGGCTGCTCTTAGAACTAGTTTCCTCATAAAATATTCTGTATAGGCATATTTATATGTAAAAATTTACAATAAATCAATGTATTAGATCTTTAGATTTATGTTTGAAGTATAAACAAATTAATCTTAATACTTCCTAATATTATAAATGCGAAAGGCATGATGTTTGTTACCCAATCACGACAAAACGGTTGGACGGATCTGGATGAAATTTGGCACAGGCATAGGATATACTACGGAATAGGACATAGGCTACTTTTTAATCAACATACTATGTGGGCGAAGCTTTGGGCGGAAGCTAGTTTCTTTATAAATGTTAAAACGCATAATTTCTTTAAAAGTATTAAAAGGCACCTATTTAGAAATGCATAAACATTCACTATTGTACCACCTATTACGAATTAAATACTTCTTTAGGTTATAGCTACATAGATGTGTAATCTATGTAGTTAAAATGCTCTCATAATAATTATAGTACTTAGTGAACATTTTGTCGGATGGTATTTGCAGGCATCTCGTCTCCAGCGGGCGAGCTGAGCGCAGAATGCGGCGAGTACATGAAGAGCGGCGAGCTGGCGCACCCCGAGCTGTGTGTCATCGTCGTCGACATACTCACCCAGCTCATACACAAGTACGTAGAGATTATACTTGTTATATACTTGCTCTTGGTAATATTAATAACTATTACCGAGAGTAATAAGTAGTACTCTCGCGCGGTTTACCCGCTGCTTGGCTCCATTTGATCGCAGTGGCACTTAGGAATATTGTAGCTATTTATTAGTGAAAAAATTTAGGCAACCCAAACAGCGGTTCTAGAGATTGCCCCTCTATATACAAACATAAAAATTTTACCTCTTTATAATATTAGTATAGATAATAAAACAATACTGTAAGGTGGCTACTCAATGCAAATTTTTGTCTAGCAAATTTGGAGATAGTTTAAGGAGAGCTTTTGTGTTTTGCTGTATGATTGAAGTTAATAGAGGCCTAATCTTCCCCTCCCTCATCCCCAATCTCCAATCTCAAATCCTGAAATTTTTAAACTTGAACGGCCTTATTACAAAACAAGGTTTTACTTTAGTCTAGGACTAAACCATTGAGCCAGTTTTTGTATTTTGAATTGAAGGTAGCTGATAATAAGATTCCAAATACAAATCCCGACTCAACGGTTTAAACCTGGACTAAAGATAAACCTTGTTTTGTAATAAGGGGGGAAATGGCGAAGTATAGTAATATCTATATTAAAGCGTATTACATAAATGTACTCGGAGTAATGCAGCACTCTCTTGTAGCAGTACATACCGTTGTTGGTGGCAGCGTAGCTCAGCTTTAGAGTTGGAGTAGTGCGTAAACTAGAAAGACGTTGTATGAATGTTGACAGACTGGTGCAGAGCCGTCAGTCGGAGTCGTGTGATGAAGAGGCGTGGCGCGCGGGCGTGGGCGTGGCGCGCGCGTGGTGCGGGCGCGTGGGCGCCGCCCTGGCCCGCGCGCGGCCCGCGCACCCCGCCCTGCTGCAGCGCCTGCTGGCGCCCGCACCCGCACAGCTGCTCGCCACCACCGACCCGCGCCTCGAAGGTACGACACATCTACCATCTGCCTGCTGTACTCCCCGAACGATATAACCTGCTTGTCTTAAAAACCCGAGTGAATAAGTTGCTGATAGATGTGCATACTCCATAGTAAGTCGCATAATCGTTTACGACCAGGTGTGATGCAGCCAAATGTCTGTCCTTACCGAAATAAATAATAAAAACACCTGTAAGTACTTACATTGTCTAGGTAAAATTCAAAAAGTACAATCTTTCAGTCGTAGAACGATCACTTAATCCGCCCTGTTATACAAGTAGCATATAGTTACGACCGTACAATACGCTACAATAGCGACTTGGTTAAACCAACACTACATTTACAACTTCTCTCTTTAATAACTACAAGAGATTTATAGAAAAGAATATTACACCTTCGAATGACTGCCTCCTCCAGACTTGCAGCGCAGCATCCTGGAGCTGATCCACGTGCTGGCGTCCCAGAGCATAGAGCCGGCGGAGCTGGCCGCCTTCCTCAAGCTGTTCACGGCGGAGCGCCCTCCGCTCACGCTACTGCTGGGAGCCCTGCACCGCCTCGTCTCCACCGCTACATACAACACACCCGACTGTATACTCACCTTCCCCGTCGATAGTGACAATACGGGTAAGGAATCTATAAAATATTATAATAGACAAAAACTTCAAAGCACCTCATCATCATCTTCCTGCCCTTGTCCCGTTTTATTTGGGGTCGGCGCAATATGTTTTTTTTCTTCCATTCTGTCCTGTCACTCGTCACGCTATCGCTAACTCCTCTGTCTTCCATATCACTACTCACACAATCCATCCATATTTTCTTTGGTCTCCCCCTGCCTCTCCATCCATCCACATTTATACACATGACTTTTTTTGTTACATGCTTTTCATCCCTCCTTTTCACATGACCATACTAAGACAAACGGTTCCCTTTCAACTTTTCAGTCACTGGCGCCACTTTCAAACTTCCTCTAATATACTCATTTCTCACTTTATCCATTCTCGTCACACCACACATCCATCTCAGCATTCTCATCTCTGCTACATGCAATCGCTTTTCATCCGTCTTTTTCAGAGCCCAACATTCTGACCCATACAGTAGGACAGGCCTTATCACTGACTTGTAGATTTTACCCTTCAACCTGAGGGGCATCCGTGGGTCGCAAGTTGTTCCAGTGACCTGTCGCCATTTCATCCATCCTGAGTTGATCCAATGTGCAAAGACAAAAACTTCAAAGCACCTAAAAATTATTAATACAAACGCCTACCTTAAGTGTACTTCGCACATAACCATTATACTTGGTGCTTGCAGATGGTATACAGTCTTTAGCAGAGGAGCTCAACTACCTGGTGGTGAACAGCACCACATCACAAAGCCACCACGCAGAAAACTGCGCCAAGCGGTTCCACGAGTCACATATTAGAGCTGGTGAGAATTGTTGTACCATAAGTAATTTGAATTCATCTGTATTCTAGTCATAAACGTAATTCCTTTGAAACAAATTACAAATATATCTTCTCATTTCGGACATCAAAGAAAATATGTACATACAGAATTTAAAGCCTCGTACATCTTTTCTATATAGACGCGCGTTAAATGCTGCCTCCTAGAAATGAGGCTAAAGTTGAATTTCCAGATAAAAAAAATCGAATTTTCATTATAACTTCATTCAATTATATGTAGATACACGTAACTAATTTAAAAGTGGGTATTGTATATTTTTAAGAAATAAGTATTTTGTTTGTCTGATGAATTAAAAACTATGTTTTTGTTTGAATTTTTTAGAATAATTAACTGAACTAATTGTTAATATAAGTACCTATACTCGAAATTTTAATTCCATTCCAGATTTGACAATTTCAGTGTTGCAACGTTATGACAGGTAATAAATAGTGACGTTGCGAAATTATTCGATGTGGAAATCGAATATTTCTGAATCGATTACTCTCGTTTATAAATTTAATCTCGTAAACTAAGTTTATCAGTATATAAAATATTTCTGAACCGATAATTTAGTTTTGGCAATTAATTAACGATCTGAGAGTTTTCTTTTGTAATTGTGTGTAAAATTAATAAAAAATAAGATCATGAAGGAACATAACAAATAAAACAGAAATTTTATAAAATGTCTCCGTTATTGCTATCGCTGTTACTTTCTGTAACATTTATTATGAATTGTGTCTGTGATTTTTATTGTCAATTAAAATATCTAGCTTACTCATTTTTTCCTCTTCTTTGACAACATGGGATACGCATTTAGACCATTCGGTAGCCGTAATTTTTTGAATGCCTTCCTGAAACTGATTCACTCATTTTTTATCGATTTTTGTGTTCATCACTTTACTGTTAATGTGTTATCATTATTTCACAAAATGACAATAGGTCATGTCAAATCAGGAATCGAATTAAAATTCTGACTATAGAGCAAAGTAAGACCTGTTTGTGGTGCATTATTTGCAGGCGTGTCATCTCCCTGGTCGTGCCACGCGGTGCGGTGCGGCGTGGAGGGCGCGGGCTGGGCGCCCTGGCTGGCCGGGTTCGCGCTCACTGTCTGGCTGCATGCACAGCTGCATCACACCGCCTCCACCGGTACACACACTTCTATACTTATTTACACTGGAAAATGAGGACACCACAAGTTCCAACCAACCAATTTAATTTTACTTAAACGGATAACAATGATCGATATAATAAAACATCGACAGAGGTGTTGGAGGAGTTCACGGACGAAGGGTCTGAAACAGAGACTAGCAAGAAGTCCCCGCGCAAGGAGGCGAGCAGTCAGCCCGCGCCGCTGTCGCACGTACTGTCCGTCGGACACGAGTCGCTCATGCTCGAGGTCTGGCTCGATACTGGCACAGGTAACTACTACTTATGTATGAGTTGTTGAGTGAGTCTCACACAACTTGGAGTCTAGGTGGAAATAAGTCGCTTGATAGTCCGTTGAGATGATATTTATTGATACACTAAACTAACTCGTCGACTATATTATCAACTAATCATGACTACATTTATGTATATATATGTATGTATGTATGTGTTTATATGTGTAAATATATTAAGTAGTATGTGTTTTATAAATATATGTATGTAAGTATAGTTTTATGTACTTTATGTATGTTTATATAAACCTATGTTATACTACTCTATTTCGCTTGCTTCTTGCATCTACTACTGGATTCTCTGCATCACCCAAAGGTCGACTGCTAGAGAATGCTCAATGCATTAAGTCCGCCTTATGTACATACAAATTGTGCATGAAGTATAAATAAATAAATATACTAATGATTGATGAGTACTGATGTATTTGAGTGTATAAATGTAAATGTTTTCTATGTTCAATTTATGTACGTGTAGCAAAATAAATAGTTTAAACATGTTAATTCTTTTAAAAACAGACTCGACAAAATCTCCAAATCCATTAATACGCACGCATCAGATTTCTAAGCTGCTAGTGTGTTCAAGTATATAATAATAATAATAATAAATCCGCAAGGCAGCTTGTGGCGAGCTGTTGGGCAGTGGCGACCCCACGGACCTGACTCCCGGGAGGTGTCTTGTTCTTCTCTCTCCGGTTAGTCCTCGTGACGAGCTGGAGTGAACACTGATGAAGAACAAGCCCTCCTACCTCATTCTTGCCTTAATTGGCTGGCTTGAGTGGAGATTCGCAAGAGTAGGAGTTGAAGGAGACTCGGGGGAAGGATGTATCTCAGTAAGATGCTGGTAGGGGTCTTGACCGTACTTCCGGGATTGCTCTGATAGCCGTGGGATACCTCTCCTTCCCCAAGCAGCTCAACGTATGTTGCCCCCTTGTCGCTACATGCTAGCGGCCGTTTCCGGGGGCCCATTAATTGAGTTTGCCAGTCACCCTCTGCCTGTTTATCCGTATGTATCAATATTGGTCAGGGGCAGGGGCCATAGTATTTCCATAGTTATCATATTCACCAGTCCATAGCAACCCATACCCATAACCCTTTAAATTTTTACCACATTTCGCAATAGTCCTGCATCAACCGGGGATTGTCCTTGGGTGCACTTTCATAGTGCATACAGGGATAATTGCCGGCTGATGTCCCATTTCACTTATATTAAAGTTGTTCAAAGGGCCTCTGCGAGTTGGCTTCGGCCCCTCGTACGCCTTCCAAAAGTCCGGGACCCTGTGGTCCCGTGAGTGGAAAGGAACACACATAATAATAATAATAATGTTATTTTGGGACATTAATTGAAAACGTTCTTATTTTAAGTTGTTCTAAGTTGAAATTAATGTCTTATTCTTAATCCTATCATGAAGATATGGTAAGCAACATAGAGTGAGTAGTACGTATGCAACAATATGAAGTGTCATACAGGGTCGTTTACATTCCGGCTGTCGCGGCCGGAGCCGAGCTCGAACCGCGTGGTGTCGGAGGCGCGCGTGGCGGCCGCCATGCCGCCCCGCCACTGGACCTGCGTGGCGCTCAATGTCAAGGAACTCGTCTACAAGAGGCACATCTACATACAGGTACATATCACACTACTTTTCTTTTTTTTGAACAAAAGTTATCGAATGGCTTCTGTGGCTCTGAGTGGGCGAGAGGGAGTTTCACACACTTACTGACTCAAAAACTTCCTGTTTCTATTTCTGCTCCGGGCCAGAGCCGTGCTACATTATAGCGCTTGAAAGCTAATAACTAAGAATTATCTGATGGTAAGTCATCAGTGCCGTCGATGTACACTCGTATTACCAAAGGAGTTATTGCACGACCTCTTATGTTTATATTGATTGGTTGTTATATTAGTTTGTTTGTTTTCTAGAAGACTGCTGTATTGTTCCGTTTAATACTACCATTCATTAGATAAGTATGTTAATTACGCTGTATTTTTTAATTCGTCAGGTGACGCTGTATGTGAATGGATACGAGTGCGAGACAGTATCCCTTCCGGTGCAGGGTATGTAGTCACTGAGTTAATATTGTGTAGCTTTCAATTTGCAATAGGCATATAAGAATATAATAAACAAATTCTATAATGGATAGTTGTATATGTATGTGTAAGACACAATTTGCGCAAGACGGTAGTGCGTATTATTATTCATAAGTAACATATGATTAATTGAATAGAGTTCATTCCTTAGTCAAAAATAAATGGTTTGTATTAAAAAAAAATTTTTTTTTTATGTAATAGGTCGGCAAACGAGCAGACGGATTACCTGATGGTAAGCAATCAGCGCCGCCCATGGACACTCGCAACGGTGGAGTTACGAGTGCGTTGCCGACCTTTCAGGGATTAGGGATTTGGAGATATAGGGATTGAGGAGGGATTGGGGAAGGGGAAGGATTGGGCCTCCGGTAACCTCACTCACACGGCGAAACACAACGCAGTGGTTATTTCACGCCGGTTTTCTGTGAGGCCGTGGTATCACTCCGGTCGAGTCGACCCATTCGTGCCGAAGCATGGCTCTCCCACACTTACTTACTTGTTTGAAAAATAATACTCCTGTTAAATAATGTTTACAAGAATTGATTGTATGTAGTTGACTTGAAATGTTGTGTATACGCGCACGACACTAGCTAAAATAAAGTTTGTGGCAAAGTTTTATTAAAAAAATGTTTAGAACGATTACAGCGCTAAGTTGCGCAAAAGTATAGAGCTACATGTAGCGAGTGGTGCAGGTATCCTGGTGCGTAAGGTGACGCCAACGTGCGTCCTGCTGGGGCACGCGGCGCGCGGCGCGGCCGGCGCGGGCGCATACCACCTGGCGGGGCTGCGCCTCTACCGCGCGCCGCTGCTGTCCGCATACACCGCGCTGCATCTCACGGCGCACGGACCCGACCACTGCTGCCAGGTACTCACATCATTCATACCTACCACCTGGCGGGGCTGCGCCTCTACCGCGCGCCGCTGCTGTCCGCATACACCGCGCTGCATCTCACGGCGCACGGACCCGACCACTGCTGCCAGGTACTCACATCATTCATACCTACCACCTGGCGGGGCTGCGCCTCTACCGCGCGCCGCTGCTGTCCGCATACACCGCGCTGCATCTCACGGCGCACGGACCCGACCACTGCTGCCAGGTACTCACATCATTCATACCTACCACCTGGCGGGGCTGCGCCTCTACCGCGCGCCGCTGCTGTCCGCATACACCGCGCTGCATCTCACGGCGCACGGACCCGACCACTGCTGCCAGGTACTCACATCATTCATACCTACCACCTGGCGGGGCTGCGCCTCTACCGCGCGCCGCTGCTGTCCGCATACACCGCGCTGCATCTCACGGCGCACGGACCCGACCACTGCTGCCAGGTACTCACATCATTCATACCTACCACCTGGCGGGGCTGCGCCTCTACCGCGCGCCGCTGCTGTCCGCATACACCGCGCTGCATCTCACGGCGCACGGACCCGACCACTGCTGCCAGGTACTCACATCATTCATACCTACCACCTGGCGGGGCTGCGCCTCTACCGCGCGCCGCTGCTGTCCGCATACACCGCGCTGCATCTCACGGCGCACGGACCCGACCACTGCTGCCAGGTACTCACATCATTCATACCTACCACCTGGCGGGGCTGCGCCTCTACCGCGCGCCGCTGCTGTCCGCATACACCGCGCTGCATCTCACGGCGCACGGACCCGACCACTGCTGCCAGGTACTCACATCATTCATACCTACCACCTGGCGGGGCTGCGCCTCTACCGCGCGCCGCTGCTGTCCGCATACACCGCGCTGCATCTCACGGCGCACGGACCCGACCACTGCTGCCAGGTACTCACATCATTCATACATGCTTATTCGACAACCTACTAAAATACATTAGTTATTTGTTCAAGATGTTTATTTAGCAACGTCACAGGTACGTATTACGCACGCTGGTGCATAGGGCAATTTGTTGACCGATCTCTCTCATTATCAAAAGACCAAATATACCAAACTTTCCTGAAATAATCCTGACTCCAGAACTTTCTCCAAACAGGAAAGAAAAGCCTTCACCAGCTTTTTTATGTATGAGTATCTTTTTTTTTTTTTTTTTTTTTTGTGAGGGGAATATCATCAAATGACTTCTCCCGCCCAGGGCCGGGCAGGAGGGAGTGTCAGACTCTTACTGACTAAAAACCCCCCTGTTCCTTCTCCTGCTCTGTGCCGAGGTCGCGGTACCTTATTGCGCTTACCCCGCAACCCCGGCTGAACATCAGCCCTTTAGGGCCCCGTCTGTGGTGGTCTATTGGCTCTTTGAGGCGCGCGCGGAACGCTACGCGCCGTACGCTCGGGCCTGGTTCTGGTCGGGCGGCGAGCTGCCCTTACTCGCCGACCGCAGGCCCGTACTTACGGTGGCCGGAGATCGTCCCTCGATCCCCGACGCCCGTAGTGTCGCCAGTTGCGGCTGCTGGGGCGTGAGGAGGAGGATTGCTCCCTCACGCGGGCCGCCTCTCTCTTTGCGAGCATGACTGCTTCACAAAAGGAGGAGACGGCGTCCCAGTTCCTCTCACTCCGCACCATGGCCTCGACTAAGGCCGGGCGCGAGAGGTCGCCGCCGCCGATCACTTCCCTGAGGATACGGCGGTGCTCAGCCCAGGCCGGGCATACCGCTACCGTATGCTCCACCGTATCCTCTAGGTGGTCCTCACAATGACGACACTCGGGCGTTTCCTCCCGCTGAATCCGAAACAGGAACCTACCGAAGCTGCCGTGCCCGGTAAGCACCTGCGTCAGACGGAAGGTGAGGACGCCGTGGCGTCTCTCAAGCCACTCCTCAAAGAGGGGTCTTACCGCTGCTATGGTAGCGTGCCCGGCCCTCGGTTGCGACAGTCGTTGTCTCCACTCTGCCATGAGATCTCGCCGGAGCTCATTCCGCCACGCACTAATTTGGCGCGGCAGAGGATCCTCGCCCCGGCGACGCGCGTCTGCGCGCAAACTGTAGACGCGCGCGAGCGCCTTCGCTTCTAGATCCCACGGCGGTGATCCGGCAAGGAGGTTCGCCGCCTCATGTATGAGTATCTTGCTGATGATAATGTTTACTAACTACTGTACTAAATAGAAAAAAGTGACTTCTTCTATGCCAATCTACATAATTGATTTCATGCAAATATATTATCTATTTTTAATAGGTGAAGTGCGAGTCTCCCAACTACCCGTTATTACTGACGCCGAACGTGCTCGACTCCAACATTGATTGGGATCAGGTGAGTCATTTAATAATAAATTCCCCAAAATTCTTTACATCGTTACTACTTTAGATATCATAATTTCTACTTCTACCATGCATATGCATTGAATTAAGGCTACATTTTAAAATGTTTCACTTAACTAAATCTCTAGCATGTACAATAATGAAAGCTTTGTTGGGTGTCTAAAATAAATAAATACAAATAAAAGGATCACCTGATGATAAGCCATCGCCAATGCCCAAAGACGTAATATCGGAGTTACAAGTGCATTGTTAGCCTTTTGTTGGTCATTGGGGATTTAAGGATAGAATAATTGGAGATTGAGGATACGATTCGAGCCTTTCGTGGCAAAGTTTGGCTGCCCCCCACTTATTAGGCACGCATGACGCGCAGGTGTTCGAGATATCGTCGTCGATACTCCGCGAGCTGCACGAGCAGCTACTGCTGACGTTCTCGGCCAGCGCGCCCAACATCATCAACCTCTACCACCAGACCGCCGCGCTGCCCACTGGTGCGTGTCTATACATACAATACTTTACACTTATTTCAAAGAGAACTACACTAAATATAAAGCTAACTTTTAATACCCACGGCTTCGATCCCGTCATTTCACTACCTACACTAACTTACCTATTATATACCTGTCTACCCTACTCTACCTACCCTATCGTACCTACTTTACCGTATCCACCATACCCTACCCTACCCTACCATTCCCTACCCTATCCTATGTTCTTCTTTTGGTTCTAAACTACATCCCCATCACGAAATCGGTTTAGCCCTTCTTGAGTTTTAAATAGTGTAACTAACACGACCTTTTTTATATGTATAGGTAAGACAAATGTAGTTTAATATTAAATATACAGTGTTCAACGCATGTTCGAAGAAAAATTATACAGTTTTGTGGAGTAGTAATAACTAGAATTAAGTGTCCATCTTATGCTAAGCTTAGGGTAATTACAGTGTGTGGTGTGAATACACACTACACTTGGAAAAGGTGCGTATGTTGTTATTATTAATATAGCATTTGCGGGTCGCGTGGCGTCCACAGCGAGCCTGATGTCGGTGTCGGGCGGGCTGCCGGGCGGCGGCGCCGGGGCCGCCGGCCCGGGCTCCTCTATCCCCGAGACACTGTTCACTACCTGGACCGGAGCCCCGCTGCCCAGCAGGCACCGCGGAATCATGCCCGCCCTCTACATGCTGGGTGGGCCCGACATATTGCTGTATCTCTTTGCTAGGGTGAGTCAATCTTAACATTATACAAATGCATAACCTGCATTATTTAAACATATAAAGTGCCGTTTTAAATGTTTCTTAGACACCAACATTTTGTACACGCACTTGCAACTCTTCTGGTGTTGCAGGCAGCGTCTGTTGCTTATCTTAATCCTTTTACCCGTTTATAATTGATATAAATATAAATATCATGTTTATTAACATAGAAGCACTTCATTTCCTTCAATATATTGAGTGTCTCGTTATATTTATGTCAAATTATCCAAGGTTAATTACTAACCTAAGCTGAGCGCTTTTTTGCTGAGTAACGACTAGTGATGACGATACGATTTCTACGGCATTTTTTGTGTTGATGTTAATAAGATTACCATTATTCACTTTTTGGAAAGCGGATAAATTTTTGAATAGTAACTATCGCGGGACATTTAATTTATTGAAACTAACGACTTACACGCATGAATGAACTGAAAAAGCTCTGTTAGTTTTAAGCCACAACGGGACTTTTATTCAAGCTCTAGGAGTCAGTTAGCTGCGTGATGTTGCAGCGACGTGTGAGTCCCGTTGCGAATAATTTATCGGATCTGTGAAGTATAATAAGACAAATCGGTGTCATGCAGGTGGTGGAGCTGGAGGGCAGCGCGCAGTCGCAGGCGCAGGCGCTGAGCGTGCTGCTGCGCGCCTGCCGCCTCGACACCCGCCTGCACGCCGCGCTGCCCGCGCCGCACGCGCACCGCATGCTGCGCGCCGTGCTCGCCGCGCCGCTCGCGCGCGTCGAGCCCCATCTGCTCAAGGTACGCCAGCCCGACACCCGCCTGCACGCCGCGCTGCCCGCGCCGCACGCGCACCGCATGCTGCGCGCCGTGCTCGCCGCGCCGCTCGCGCGCGTCGAGCCCCATCTGCTCAAGGTACGCCAGCCCGACACCCGCCTGCACGCCGCGCTGCCCGCGCCGCACGCGCACCGCATGCTGCGCGCCGTGCTCGCCGCGCCGCTCGCGCGCGTCGAGCCCCATCTGCTCAAGGTACGCCAGCCCGACACCCGCCTGCACGCCGCGCTGCCCGCGCCGCACGCGCACCGCATGCTGCGCGCCGTGCTCGCCGCGCCGCTCGCGCGCGTCGAGCCCCATCTGCTCAAGGTACGCCAGCCCGACACCCGCCTGCACGCCGCGCTGCCCGCGCCGCACGCGCACCGCATGCTGCGCGCCGTGCTCGCCGCGCCGCTCGCGCGCGTCGAGCCCCATCTGCTCAAGGTACGCCAGCCCGACACCCGCCTGCACGCCGCGCTGCCCGCGCCGCACGCGCACCGCATGCTGCGCGCCGTGCTCGCCGCGCCGCTCGCGCGCGTCGAGCCCCATCTGCTCAAGGTACGCCAGCCCGACACCCGCCTGCACGCCGCGCTGCCCGCGCCGCACGCGCACCGCATGCTGCGCGCCGTGCTCGCCGCGCCGCTCGCGCGCGTCGAGCCCCATCTGCTCAAGGTACGCCAGCCCGACACCCGCCTGCACGCCGCGCTGCCCGCGCCGCACGCGCACCGCATGCTGCGCGCCGTGCTCGCCGCGCCGCTCGCGCGCGTCGAGCCCCATCTGCTCAAGGTACGCCAGCCCGACACCCGCCTGCACGCCGCGCTGCCCGCGCCGCACGCGCACCGCATGCTGCGCGCCGTGCTCGCCGCGCCGCTCGCGCGCGTCGAGCCCCATCTGCTCAAGGTACGCCAGCCCACCGCTTCCACCATTTGGGAACTTTCCTGCACCAGCGCTCGTCGATTCTCCTAGCTAATAGTCTGCATACCCATGCTTCGGCACGAATGGATCGGCTCGACGGGAGTGATATCACAGAAAACTGGCGTAAAACAACCACAGCATTGTATTTCACCGTGTGAGTGAGGTTATCAAAGGTCCAATCCCTCCCGTCTCTCCTTTCCTTACCTTTGTTTTTGCGAGAATCTATAAGCGGCACTGATTGCTTACCATTATCTGCATAATCCATCTGCTCCAAAAAAACGAACTCTAAAATAAAATAGTTTCTCTCCACAAGTTTCCAGGTAAGGTTTTTTTTGAGGTTGTCTGTTTTTATTTTTTGATTGATTGTTTTATTGTAATAACTATTTAATGTTACAAGAAATCATTGTATAAAAGTGGCTTGTACGTAGTTTTTCAACGTGTTGGATTGAATACTAAAGACATTTTGATAAAGCCGCCTTCCGGCTGATGGAATGTATACCGTGGCGGTGCAGGCGATCCTGGACGAGGCGTGCAGCGCGCCGGTGCTGTGTGTGTGCGGGGACAGCGTGCAGCTGGCGGCGCGCACCGACGCCGTGCTGCTGCAGCCAGACCTGCTCGTGCTGCTCGCTGACTCCTGGAGGCACTTCGAGACTGGACAGGTACACTCACACCTCATAGAGTCACACAATACTGATACTGACTTATTAACATTACTGCGTTTCTGGTGGGCAGTATATTGTGATTGGATTGGATACTAATTGGAATCGTTTTAGGAGAGCCTTTTTCTCTAATATTGAGAATTAACTAAAGTCCGCAGCGGATTAGTAGTATCGCGGGAACGCAGGCGAAGCTGCTGATGTTATGTAGAAAAATATATAGAGAAATTAACAGTAATGTAGGTTATACAATAAATATCATTGCAGAATCGTAATGTCCTTGTGTGGTGTTGCAGGAGTGGTGCTGGGAGGTGGATATCGGCGGGGCCGGCCCC